CAGTCCCATCGTGGCTGTTGTTCCGACAACTGTTCCAGCTTCTCTCTTCGATTAGTTTTTCTTAAAGTTTTCCATAAAAGTTTTATCAAGTGTATTTGTCTACCAAAGATTTCAAGTTTAAATTAGAAGTTTGAAATAAATAGTGTTAATGTGCTCTCCTAAGCACTAGTGTTTTGATTTATTCTGGAATACACCTTCAACCCATTTATTCAAAAAATGAACGAGTCAACATCGATGGAGTCCTCATCAGAGGTTTAGCGGCTAACGGATTCACATTTCGAAGTTTGGCGCTCGTTATTTCAAAAAGGCGCCACTGTCCTCCTAGTAACATTGCTAGAACATAACCATCTGTGTTATGTCTTACCGAAGTAACTAGGAGGACAGTAGCGCCAATAAATTTTAGAGCGCCAATTTTTGACTGTAGATTCGTTTGCCGCCAAAGCTCTGATGAGCACTNATAACACCTGAAATTTGAGAATGTAAAGAAATGCTAGAATGAAAGGACCATGAACAAGGGACACAGAAAATAAGTCTACAGATGCGAGAAAAACTGTTGCCGGAAATCGTAAATGTCAAGTACTTGAGTTGAATTCTCAGTTTATAGTTCTCCCAAGATTTATCAGAATGATACTTTTCTTGAAAACCCAAAATTCAAAGAGATATGCAATATGATATGATTTTTTATAAATTTTTTATAAGAGATAAACTCGACGGTCATGGTCGTAAAATCGTAAAATCTCGGTTTTGNAAACTTTGCAATACAAAAAATGAATTTAATAAACTCTAGAAAAACTCTACTGAAAAACTATTTGAAGAGAGAAGCTGGAAGCTGAAGGCTTCACCACCAATTTCCACGATGGAACTGACTTAGACTTAAACTTAACTCCAAGTGTTGGGTCCGCAACCCCAACGGACCAAAAGTTGCGCGCGCAATCCCGGCCCAGGGGAGAGGGAAAAGTGAAACTCAAGGAAAAGCGGGGAAATGAAAAAAGGGGAAGAAGGGNTGAAAACCCAAAATTCAAAGAGATATGCAATATGATATGATTTTTTATAAATTTTTTATAAGAGATAAACTCGACGGTCATGGTCGTAAAATCGTAACATCTCGGTTTTGGAATATTTGGAAAGTGTTCTGTTTCAAGTGGTCCACACGTGTTGAGTTCTCCTTTGTTCATTGTATCGCGGGGGGCTGAAGGGCCTGACCGCCCAAGATTGAAAACTGTTGACGTCACACGTTCCCCTTTCTCCCTTTTTTCGTTTTCCGATTTCTTTTTCGAGTTATCCCTCTTCCCTTTCCACTGAGTCAAGATTGCGTGCGCGACTTTTGCTCTAGTGGGGGTGTAGGGACCCAACCACTGATCTCTATATGTATAACTGGATAGCCGATCCCTATGGCAGCCAGTGAGTTTATTAGAGAGGTACGCAGCGCCTCCGGATAGTAGTCAGCGAACTAAGATTCTCTCTAGTGCGCATGTCCGTGTCAACTGCAGGTAGTGCGGCAGTGGTAAATTTACCGAGAGCATTGGGAAATATTATAGGATATTTTACCGTGTAGGACATCCAGAATAACAGACGAACTTTTGTTAATAATCAGTGAAAACTGACATTGTCTATAAACGCGAAAGGAAGCCGAAGCATGGAGGAATGTCGAAATTAGTACAATTGTTATTAATATTGTATTATTAATGAATTGTATAATCGTTAATAATTGAAAAAATTGAATTTTTAAAAACTAGAAAAGAATCGCCAAAGAATGCTATTAGATTTTTTTAACCGTCATTTTTTGCTAGATTTAATTGACGTTTTAATTTTTTCAAAAAATCAATTTTGAAAAATCAGGATTTAACCCACTGTCTTATGTCAAAGTCCATAACTTTGTTGTAGAGCAAGATTGAAATCGGAATTTTTGATTCAAAATATGAAAAAAAATCAAGAAATTTTTTGACACATGATTCAACATGAATGACCGTTTTTTAAACAATATCCATTATTTATTTATAAAACGGAGATGTTTGAAAAGAAAATAATATGTTGAAAAATGTAATTTAAATGATGCTCATTGTGTATGAATTTTTTATAAATTTTCTCACGTAATTTAATGGAAAAATTTAATAAATGAAAATCTCGACATCTATAGTGTGGTCAGTATGAACTTGTAGCCTACTGATGAGCTACTTTAAGGAAATTAATGTATTCAGGAAATTGGGAAACTCAAAATAAATATTCAACTGAATTTATTCGTTCGAAATTTGTTTGTATTTATTAAACTATAATACACCTAGACTGATCGGAATTTATTGATTGAGTATACTATACTAATTTTACCTTTTTCAATTATTATTTACAATTTGGGACGGAGAATGTTTCCACGGCAATTTTCCGAGCACGTGGCCCCCACTGCGGCGCGCATGCGCACTGACGTCATCTTTAGTACCTGAGCTACTATACGGCAGCGCTGGCTGACACTTCAATTCGCCTCACTTTGAGAGTGGTGGGAGCATAGGGATCAGCTATCCAGTTATATAGAGATCAGTGGATCCAACCCCTAAATTTAAGTTTAAGGTAAAGTCAGTCCCATCGTGGCTGTTGTTTCGACAACTTTTCCAGCTTCTCTCTTCGATTAGTTTTTCTTCAAGTTTCTATAAAAGTTTTATCAAGTGTATTTGTCTACCAATGTTTTCAAGTTAAAATCAGAAGTTTGAAATAAATAGTGTTAATGTGCTCTCCTAAGCACTGGTATTTTGATTTATTCTGGAATAAACCTTCAACCCATTTATCCAAAAAATGAACGAGTCAACATCGATGGAGTCCTCATCAGAGGTTTAGCGGCTAACGGATCCACATTTCGAAGTTTGGCGCTCGTTATTTCAAAAAGGCGCCACTGTCCTCCTAGTAACATTGATAGGACATAACATATTTGTTATAACATATTTGTTATGTCCTATCAATGTTACTAGGAGGACAGTGGCGCCTTTTTGAAATAACGAGCGCCAAACTTCGAAATGTGGATCCGTTAGCCGCTAAACCTCTGATGAGGACTCCATCGATGTTGACTCGTTCATTTTTTGAATAAATGGGTTGAAGGTTTNAGAATAAATAAAAAACACCAGTGCTAGGAGAGCACATTAACACTATTTATTTCAAACTTCTGATTTTAACTTGAAAACTTTGGT